AAATATTTAAAAAAATTAAGTACGATCACTTTTTTCTTTTATATATTTTATTAAGTACAGGTCAGAATAAGTATGCGTTTCATTTTTACATAAATATATATGTCGCGCAGGATGACAATGAAACATAATTTCACCAATATACTAACATTTTATTTTCACAAAAGTTATTTAAACCATTAAAGTAGACAATTCACTTGCATTTAATATGCTTTCAGCGTATGTAAAATCATTTTTGGAAATGTATTTTCATGCAGTCACAAATAATAAATAAAATAGAAATACTTACTAAATAAATAAATAGTCAAGCATTTGGTCTAGTTTGTCTCACATGTTAAGCCAATCTTAATAAAATAAATAAAAATAATCACATGTAATAAAATGGCTTTACTCTTTTTTTATTCTTTACAACACTTAAATTCTGTTAACGGAGTCTCTGTGGCTTTATTTACCTGCTCCTCCAGCTGCTTGTTCTCTAATGTCAATTGCTCCAAAAGCCCTGACACCTTCTTTAGCGACTTAAGGTCGCCACCTATCTCTTTCTGAAGTGCAACTACATCATCTGTAAAGTGTCCGTCCTCTGAAGGAGATTCAGAGTTCCTGCTGTCTGTACGGTCTAGATGAGAAGGAGCATTGCTGCTGTGCTTGTTGTGCTTCATCACAGGCGCTGCCATGTTGCTCGACACGTCATCAGTGGATTCTGTCCGCGGCTCCCTCTAGTGGCAGAAAGTACTCCAAAATGTGTTTTGTTTTATAACTTTATTTTATTTTTTAATTATTGTTTTAAATCTTGTACTTCTGCTAAAATGATAACAAAAATGCTTTTTCACACTTTTCATTGACAGAAACTAGGGCTACCAATAAGCATGAATCACATTATTATTACGATAATAATCAGGATAAAATAACGAATCATGGTTAAAATCGACATTTGACAGAAGTAGACCTTGACATAAACGCCTATATTTAACATATATAATATTTTATTTATTAAATTATTCAAATGGAACGTAATTTACTTTAAATAATTTTAACAATTTTTGAAATGTAAAAATTTAAACCGTAAAAAAATTTTTTTGAATTTCATGAATATTAATATTCGTGATTACGTAACTCAACTCTACAGGCACGTAATCAAAACCGTTTGCGTAATTAACATTCATGAGCTCAACCTTTGACGAGGATGTTTGTGACGTTTCTAGTTTTTCTTCCAGGCAGGCATGGATAAATACATTAATTTCATAACAAAACGACACGTATGTGTTTAGAAACAAGTTTATGCTAACGTATCACGATATAGTTACAACAAAAGTGTAAGACAACGTAGACGCAACAGCTTTAAGACTCAAGTCATCAAACAGACGTAAACAATGAAAAATGAGATCAGTTGATACGTCCTTTTTTATTGAACAACCATAAAATATAAATATCGCGGCATATGTGCCCGTAAAAAAAATTTTGACTCATGAATATTAATATTCGTGATTACGTAACTCAACTCTACAGGCACGTAATCAAAACCGTTTGCGTAATTAACATTCATGAGCTCAACCTTTGACGAGGATGTTTGTGACGTTTCTAGTTTTTCTTCCAGGCAGGCATGGATAAATACATTAATTTCATAACAAAACGACACGTATGTGTTTAGAAACAAGTTTATGCTAACGTATCACGATATAGTTACAACAAAAGTGTAAGACAACGTAGACGCAACAGCTTTAAGACTCAAGTCATCAAACAGACGTAAACAATGAAAAATGAGATCAGTTGATACGTCCTTTTTTATTGAACAACCATAAAATATAAATATCGCGGCATATGTGCCCCTATATTTACATTTTAATCGAAAAGTGTACAAATATTTGCCAGACGTATGCTTTGTTTGTGCGTTCCTGCATTGATAACATTATTTTTGGCTTGCGTGCCAGCAACGGAGACACTACTGTCACCATGTTTAGTGCTGTAAAAGCAGTTGTACAGTATTTCATGTCAGTTCCTAGCATTGTGGTCGTGCAAAAGACATAAATCGCCCAAAAATGTTATTTCTTGGCTCGTGTAGTTGCAGGAGGCGCTGGCGTAAGTGCCTGCAGGCCTCTGTGATGCACTCCTCTGGTTTGAGGTTTCCTGACATGACTCTGACAGGGCTCTGCTTGCCTTGGATGGCAGAAAGGCCATAAGTTGTTAAGGATCTTGAGGTTTGAGAGTGTTTGCCAAAGTCAATTCTGGCCTGAGCAGCAGCTGTATGAAGTTTCTTAAACTGGCACGTTACACCAGTCCAGCTTAGCATGGCAGTCAGCATCACACAGTGCCTTCAAGTTTACGTATAGCACCCTGAAAACCGGACCTCTTCTTTTGTAACAGTATCCAGATGAATACTGGTGAGTCTGTTGTGTGTTTTGGGCTTTATTCAAAAAAGTACAAACATATTATACACATAAATAATATGATTGTAGTAATTCATATAAATAAAATTATACAAATTTAAACACATTTATACATATAATTTTACAAATAATTACATTATTATCAATAATACTGTACATATAAAAATATAATTATTGCAATAAAAAGTATATTTTTAATGTTATGCATTCAGTGTCATACAATGTAGTAATACTTATATCTATAATTATATTTATAATATATAATTATAATTGTATTTATAATATTAATAATAAAAATACTATTATAAACTATAAATTTGTCATTTTTATTGTGTGTGTGTGTATTTTTAAAATAATATATAATTCATTCTAAATTGAAAATATGTATGTTTTCAAATATAAGTAATAATGTTTATATGTGCCTATACGTATATGTATATATTCTCATGTGTGTATTTAAATATAATAATATTTAAAATACTTAAAATAAATAATTATTAAAAATTATGTATTAAATATAAATAAATATATATTATTTATTTATTATTTAATAATTGTATTTATTATTTTTTGTAGAGTTTATTTTTTGAACAGCCTCTGAATATTACAAAAAGCTTTGTGAAACATTTTATCTTCCCTTGAAAAGCCTATTTATAAGTCTATTCCTGTTTTAACTATGCACAATTACATGGTTTATTCAATTCAGCTTGTTTTTTTCTTACTAGGTCACGACCTACCAGTTGAAGCACCAGCACCATAAAGGTATTTGTAACATATCTGCATTTTCAAGCTGTCAGAAGAAAATGAAAAATTAGTCAGCCAAGGGTACTACAGCCAGACAGTGTTATCGTCAGGGGAGGGGGCGATCAAGAACTTTGTCCCGGGACTGTTGATGAGCATAGCCTACTCATTTGTCCCCAGGGGAGAGGCGGCCCACCCATCAAAATCTGGTTCCAGGCCATGAGCATTTTAGCGATGACAACGATAGAGTGACAACCTTGAGCTCCCAGTCTGAGTCAGAGAGTGAAGCCAGGCAGTGCTCACAGCCCAGGAAAATATGAATCGACTAGGGAGATGGGACTGTTTAGGGAAGCTTTTGCACCTTCCCAACCAACTCAGCTCCTTTTGTACAGTTCATACCAAAGACTTAAAACAAAATGTACATATTTAGTTCTAAGTATTTCTCCAAAAAAAAAAAGTTGTTACTGCGATAGATGCTATCTGATGTAAAAAATGTGGGTGGTCAAGAGTCCGAGTTACCTGAGGGTGATATATCACTATGTCTGTCACCATCCTTGTTGCTGAAACAAGATAATTGATCTCACTGTGAGATAAAGGTCTAGCAGTCTTTTGTCATGTTTTTGTCATGTATACCCATTGATACATGTCTCATGTTTTTTTTGTTTTTGTTTTTTTTAAACAGGTCCAGTATGTATGATATGGAATCATATGCACCATCATAAGGTACAGTAATCTCTTTCACTATAGGACAAAGGTCATATTACTACAAACATCCAGCAGTACTCCATAATCCCACATTACTGTCTGTCTGTGAAGTATCAAGAGTCCTTCTGAATGCTTCAAAGTGGCAGTGGGTGACCAGTGAAGTTAATGCTATTCAAAACAGATCTGGGAGCATGTTTTTCCCACATTCCTCACCCAGCTGTTTGCGTGTGAATAGAGGGGCTGCACAAGTTTGCGTGAGAGATTGTGTGTGTGTCAGTGTCCTTGTGTGTCTGTTTTCCTGTGTCATAGTTTGGCATGCAAATATCACTGCCGCTCCATCTGAAAGCACGTGCTGGAGATTTACTACTAATCACAGGAGCGGCTTTACTGACTACATGCGCATGAAAATCGCATTCGATTTTTTGCACAGCCCTATGTTTGTGTATGTGCAGGGGTATTGTGTGGAATGTCTGACTCTGTACATGTGTGTGTGACTGCGGAGAATTCGCTTTTGGGGGCAACAGTCGCACAGGACGGTGTTATGAGTTAGAGGATGTCCTGTGGACAGGGCAAAAGAAGACTGTAAAGATCTTGTGTCTGTGTGTGTGTGTCTGTGTGTGTGTGTGAATGTCCTTGTGTGTCTGTTTTCCTGTGTCATAGTTTGGCATGCAAATGCCACTGATTTAAGAACATTCTAAGTTCTGTAATATCTCAATAAATTTTTAACCCTCAGAGACACACTGTAACATCACAGTGCAATCAAATAATGCCTATTTTCACTAAATATAGCTCACACTCTGAAATACATTATATTAACAATAGAGAAAAAAGTCTCATTTATACAACTTTTTTTGGAGAGGGAGATTTTGCAATAAATAATTTATATAATAATCTAACTATTATTATTATATATGCACTTTACAATTAAAACTATTACATTTTATTTAATTAGTAATTGTAATAATTGTAATGCCATATTTAGTGCAATTAGTTTTCAGTAAATATGAGTTAAAATTACATAAAACTGCAACTCACACTCTGAAATAGATTATAGAAATAAGAATAATGTCCTTAAATATAGGAATATTGTTTCTCATTCATGTTAGTTTTTTTGGGGGGGAATTTATTTAAATAAGCAATATAAATAATTATTATTATGTGCACTTTGCAATTAAATAATATTAATATCATTTAAATAGTAAGTGTAATAAGTAATTTTTAGTGCAATTAATTTTCAATAAATATAGGTTGTAATTAGATGCATTATATAAGTTACATACAATAATTTCTAAATAAATATATAGAACTAAAAAGAATTGCAATCTGCATATTTAAGCGTCCGGACCTGACATAACATGCAACACAAAACAATTAATGAAACTATAATTGTAAAGGCAACATGCAAAAACATAAATCTATTGTTTTGGCCAACAGATACTGTAATTGCCCACCACATCTTCCAATTATATATATATATATATATATATATACTGTATATATATATTTGTAACATTTTTTGCAGGAATGTAGGGCTCAAACACCATGTCTACACCAGACATCACTGTTGTTGCTTGTTGTGACATGTAGGTGCTGTCAACAATGAACGTGACAAAGCACCAGTTGCAAACAATTTGTCCTTTGTGTCAGTACATCAAATAGAAAGAGGCGTCAGTTTACTGTCAGTCATACATTGGCATACTGTTTATAATATATTATACTTATAAACTTAAAAGTTTTAATGTGATAAGAATAAATTTTTGACTTTAGTCACGTCACAAGACTGTATATCCTTTTTATAAATAATGCTCAAATATTTTTATGTCAATTAACAGGAAAATAAGGTGTTGAGGTCTCAAGAAAGCTAAAAGCTAAAAAAATATGTACTTGCACACGTAAAGGGATAGTTCACCCAAAAATGAAAATTACCCCATGATTTACTCACCCTCAACATATTCTAGGTGTATGTGACTTTCTTCTTTCAGACGAATACAATCTGAGTTATATTGAAAATGTCCTGGCTCTTCCAAGCTTTATAATGGCAGTGAATGGGGGTCGAGATTTTGAAGCAAACTAAAGGTTATCAATCCCTCATAAAAGTGCTCCACACTGGGGGTTAATAAAGGCCTTCTGAAGCGAATCAATGCGTTTGTGTAAGAAAAATATCCATATTTAAAACTTTATAAACCTAGCTTCCGCTAACTGTCGTATACGTGTTCACGAGAGAGTGGCGTTCCATCAGATGACGTAGGACAGGGATCCTCAAATCTGGCCCACGAGATCCACTTTTCTGCAAAATCACAGGTAGGTGAGTTTGATCAGGTTTGGAGCTAAGCACTGCAGTACAATGGCCATCCAGGGCAAGATTAGGGGAACCCTGACGTAGGTGTAGCGTAAGCTCCGGTGAGAAGTGACAAACGTGGAAGTGCAGATGAGAGAACAAAATAAAACACCTGCCACGAATTAGAAGTACAAAACAAGGATTTGTAAAGAGGAGACTAGTTTTTCTTTGCTGTAAACAAAACTTGGTTCTCGAGAGATTAGCATATTCTCACAGGAGCTTACGCTACGCCTGCATCCTACATCATCCACTGGAACGCCACTCTCTCGTGAACGAGCGTACGACTGAAGCTACGGATTGCGGTTAATAAAGCGTTAAATATGGATATTTTTCTTACACAAAAGCATTGATTCAGAAGGTCTTTATTAACCTCCCCGAGCTGTGTGTACCTTTTATGATGGATGAATGCACTTTTTTTTGGGCTTCAAAATCTCGACCACCATTTACTACCATTATAAAGCTTGGAAGAGCCAGGACATTTTTTAATATAACTCTGATTGTAATAATCTGAAAAAAAGAAAGTTATATACACCTAGGAAGTCTTGAGGGTGAGTAAATCATGATGTAATTTTCATTTTTGGGTGAACTATCCCTTCAATTATAACTAGCGATGTTTTGCAGCATTGAAGACTCATTTTTCTTCTGAAATTTACTGCAAAACAAAATATGCTTTAAAACCAATTACTAAAAACACTATCAATCTGAATGTCTCTGAGGATTGAGAAGTAATGGAGTTGTTATTCCTGGTATGTTTGTGTATGTGCAGGGATATCGTGTGGAATGTCTGTACATATGTGTGTGTGACTGTGGAGAATTCACTTTTGGGGGCAACAGTCGCACAGACAGAACAGTGTTATGAGTTAGAGGCTCTCCTGTGGACAGGGCAAAAGAAGACCGTAAAGATCTCTAATAGTGTGGCCTTTTGATCTAGTGCTGCTTTGGCATTCCACTTCAGTTAATAAATAGCCCAACAAATCATCATGAAAGCTGAAATGCCACAAAATCAACAGTAAACTGTTTTTTTTTGGGGGGGGGGGGTTTATTGGCTTGGATCACGAAGGTGATGATGCCTCCTTTGTTTGTGGCTGTTTTAATGAATGTATCAATGGAATTTCTATAAACCAGAGAGTTTAAGCTGCTCTTCTGTGTACAAAGTAATCAGTTAGCCCTTGGATGGTGACGAGGTATTCTGCATGTATATGTGTGTGTGTAAAGCCTTGCCCGTTTCTCTCCTCCTGCTCCCGGGAGCTTGTTTTCCCAGATTTGGGAGTTGCAGGTGCAGCGTCCAGCTGCAGCTCCGCTGCACACGCCAACAGCATGAATAATTTTCCCTCCTTTCAGAGCAGTGAAATCAAAGCATATGGAGGACGTAAAAGAAGGGGGGGCATGTTTTATCTGGATCTTTACCATCACTCCATTAAGCTACGTTACCAAGCCGAGTGTGGAAAAAAAGAGAAGATCCTGTGTATATGCTTGTTTGTGGGCCGCTTTCAGATAGGGAGTGGAGGGCAGTGAAAATCAAGCTCTCACAGTCGAGTTCACAGCCCTGGCTTGATTGTTTTTCTTGTCTTGGCTCATCTTAGGCCGTCAGTGTTGTCATATTGTCCATGTGCATGGAGGCACACAGGCCCTGAGAGAAAAAGAGAGGGACCACACATGGAGAGCGAAGCCCCAGGGAGTATCAGGCCTGTGTGAAGTGCTTTGCCAGGACCCAAGTCGCCTCGCTTCACTGCTTGTCATTGGATCTCAGATCTGCTGATAAAATTTGCCCCCCTCTCCTCTTTTAAAGTGATGAAATGTCTCTCCTTACCCAGCCCACCTGGGTATAGATGAAGAGGTCCAATAAGTCCCTCTGAGTAAGTGTGGTCTGTAGCTGAAAGCACGCTCATAAATGAGGTCGGTGTGGTCTGAAGATGTCAGACTAGATGCATCCACCTCTATTGAGAGTGACACTAACAATGCATTTTCAATGCTCTGTTTTGTGTGCACAGACAAACACACATGAATATAAATGTTGCACTCCGTTTTGTTTTTTTTTCTGCTGGTTACACAAATCTGTGGCCTTGATGTGGTGGCCAGCTCCATTTGAAATAAAATGGATCTTTTTTTCAGACACTGATTTAACTGGAGTCTTCATATAATGAGAGTGTTTTAACGAGACTTCTAGAAGTACAGTATATCAATACCTTATCTTTTATTTGCTGAAATTAGAGTTTTTGTTTTGTTTCTTGTTATTGGACATTTACATATTATTATAATATTTATTATTTTTAATTAGCTTTCATTACATTTTTTTATAATTGGTATTTTTATATTTACTATATTTTATGTAATATGTATATTTTATTTGTATATATTTTTTTACCTTTAATATATTTTTTATTTCCGATTTAGTTTTAGTAATTTTTGTACTTTAATTTCAACTTGTTTTATTTCAGTTGGTTGCCAGTAACATTTCAAGTAACATTTTCATTTAAGTTTTTTAAATGTAAGTTTATTGTATAATATTTTATTTCAACTTTATTTTAATTAATAAAAGCCATTTGAACACTACTGGATATCGTATGTTTAATTGTGCTCAATTGTGCTCAAAAATGCTAATTTCCCCTGTTTTTTTTATTTAGATCACATTTGCGGTTATCTAACACACCTTAAAGGGATAGTTCACCCAAAAATGAAAATTTGATGTTTATCTGCTTACGGTTTCTGGCACAAACCGATCGTTTCGTGTCTTAGGACATCAATGTGTCATCACGAGCCGCAGGGTTTAATTTGGATTTGTCTGTGCATGTTTTTTTTACTCTCATAGATTTTGTTAGCATTGCCATGCATTATACGACTGATAGACTGCAACGGTTTGTGTTAAAAATCATCATATGTGTTCTACTGAAGAAACAAAGTCACCTACATCTTGGATGCCCTGGGGGTAAGCAGATAAACATCAAATTTTCATTTTTGGGTGAACTATCCCTTTAAGTTACTCGTTACACCTTACACGTTACACTTTTCAATGTAATCTTCAATGAATCTCACATTGAATATCTATTTATTATACTGTGCATTATAATGTTGTGATGCCTAAATTCACCCATTTTTTTTTATTTTGTGATTTATTGAGACAAAGTTGTTGTTATTGTTGTTGCTGTTAATAATAATAATAACAATAATGAAAATATTTATATAAACCCTTAATACCGGCTATAGTTATTGGTTATGATCAAAAATGTGAAAATAATTATCAGCTTTTTCGCATTGTCCAGAATTTTAATTTCTGTTAATTACCATTAATTTCTTTGTGTAAACTTTTAAATAAGAGTAAAATACTAACGCACACCTTGTCATGTTAACTTCAGGCTCAACCAGTGGTGTAAGGTTGGAGTGTGGGACTTCCTGTTTATAGCAATATGAAACATTTTTTTAAAACTTTGTATGGTTTTTGTTGTATGGTTTACACACTGTAACTTTAATATGTAGCTGTAAAACTTAAGGCCCATCTGTATCACACACTCATTCGTTGTGCTTCATGGGAGTCTTCTAGGATTATTTGTAGTCAAGTGAATAAGACAGACCTGTAAAATCACTCCCAGCCTCTCTGATTGCTTTACAATGCCTGAAACATTATAAAGCTCTGTGAGTGACAATTGCAGTCATTTATAATGCCCATATGTTTCTCTCTTCTTCTCAATTATATATATATATAAAAAAAACAATTGACTGAAATGGTTTTTGACCCACAGTGCAATGCTTTTACCATCAGACAGGTTAACTGCAGTGATGTCTGGCACCCGAGATTGGAGTTATTTCAGTAACGCGCTTGATTCAACTTAAGGGCGAATGACTGAATCAAAGAAGGCTGTAAATATTTGTGACACACCACCAGACTACATGGCACCTGGTGATGACTGATAAGCCATTGCAAGTTGATGTTAACTGTTGTTAATGCATTGTTTTGTTTGTCATTGCTGTGGCTGTTATGGCTGGTGTATTTTTTGGCCTAGACTGTGAAAGTAGTGTAACTATGACCAAATCTCATTTCAAGCAGCACTTAAAGGGATAGTTCACCCAAAAATGAAAATTTGATGTTTATCTGCTTACCCTCAGGGCATCCAAGATGTAGGTGACTTTGTTTCTTCAGTAGAACACAAATTATGATTTTTAACTCCAATCAATGTGTCGTCACGAGCCGCAGGGTTTAATTTGGATTTGTGCATGTTTTTTTACTCTCAAAGATTTTGTTACCATTGCCATGCATTATGTGACTGATAGACTGCAACGGCTGGACTTAAAAATCATCATTTGTGTTCTACTGAAGAAACAAAGTCACCTACATCTTGGATGCCCTGGGGGTAAGCAGATAAACATCAAATTTTCATTTTTGGGTGAACTATCCCTTTAAGTTACTCGTTACACCTTACACGTTACACTTTTCAATGTAATCTTCAATGAATCTCACATTGAATATCTATTTATTATACTGTGCATTATAATGTTGTGATGCCTAAATTCACCCATTTTTTTTTATTTTGTGATTTATTGAGACAAAGTTGTTGTTATTGTTGTTGCTGTTAATAATAATAATAACAATAATGAAAATATTTATATAAACCCTTAATACCGGCTATAGTTATTGGTTATGATCAAAAATGTGAAAATAATTATCAGCTTTTTCGCATTGTCCAGAATTTTAATTTCTGTTAATTACCATTAATTTCTTTGTGTAAACTTTTAAATAAGAGTAAAATACTAACGCACACCTTGTCATGTTAACTTCAGGCTCAACCAGTGGTGTAAGGTTGGAGTGTGGGACTTCCTGTTTATAGCAATATGAAACATTTTTTTAAAACTTTGTATGGTTTTTGTTGTATGGTTTACACACTGTAACTTTAATATGTAGCTGTAAAACTTAAGGCCCATCTGTATCACACACTCATTCGTTGTGCTTCATGGGAGTCTTCTAGGATTATTTGTAGTCAAGTGAATAAGACAGACCTGTAAAATCACTCCCAGCCTCTCTGATTGCTTTACAATGCCTGAAACATTATAAAGCTCTGTGAGTGACAATTGCAGTCATTTATAATGCCCATATGTTTCTCTCTTCTTCTCAATTATATATATATATAAAAAAAACAATTGACTGAAATGGTTTTTGACCCACAGTGCAATGCTTTTACCATCAGACAGGTTAACTGCAGTGATGTCTGGCACCTGAGATTGGAGTTATTTCAATAACACGGTTGTTCAACAAAACGGTGAATGACTGAATCAAAGAAGACTAAATATTTGTGACACACCACG